GATCAATACACAGTGTGTGTATTGATCCATACACAGTGTGTGTATTGTTCCATACACAGTGTGTGTATTGATCCATACACAGTGTGTGTATTGTTCCATACACAGTGTGTGTCGTTCCATACTCAGTGTGTATTGTTCCATACTCTGTGTGTAAGTGTATGGATCCATACACTGTGTGTGTCGTTCTATTCACAGTGTGTATTGATCCATACTCAGTGTGTATCGATCCGTGTATGGATCTATACACATGCATGATAGGCAGGAGGACCTTGAAAAAGATGTGAGCTGATCAGGATAAAAACATTTAGGTCATCTGGCTGTTGTTAAAATTCAATCAGCTCACAAGCTAGTAGTTAAAAAGTATTACAGCTGACTAGGGCTGCCACAAACGATTATACAGACGATTATATATTGCACAAACGATTATATATTGTAGCCACAGCTACCCCAGGGTAGCTGTGGCTACAATATAGCTTACCATCATCAGTGTGTGAATGGGTGAATGTCTGTGAGTGTAAAGAGCTTTGGGGTCCGGAGGGACTTGATAAAGCRCTCTATAAGTTCAGTCCATTGACCATTTAAAAATGATATTTGAGAGGTTCTGCTCAGAGTTGCATAAGAAACGTGTCATAATGAGCAGTGTGTGATTGTCCTCTGGTCTTGTTGTCCTGTTAGGTTGCACTGTGTGGATGTAGCATCTTTGGAGAGCCAGGATGCCTCTGGAGGTCAAATGGCCATTTCCACATTGTCCTGCTCTGGCATGGAGGATCTCCAGCTCATTGGTCATGGGTCTGGTGGGCTCCTATTCCTACTTCTGGACCAGTAAGTGATCAGAGATTTCACATCTATACAAACAACAACAGTGCACAGAGAAAGTTTTCACATTTTGATTTTAAAAAGGMCAAAGGCTTTGTTGATGACATGTTCTCTTCTCTTGTCTTTTGTGTCCCCTCTGCTTCCTCGATGYCTCTGCTCAGAGTACATGAATTATCTGACAGTCCACAACCATGACGTTCTGTTGAAGCTGATTGACCACAGGCCCTCAGACACACCCCTCATCACTTTGGCCAATCACCAGTCCTGTATGGATGACCCACACATCTGGGGTGAGAGCAGGGACAGTGAGCAGCCCTCTTGGCCATTTCAGTTGGCAGCAGTGCTGAGAATAATAAAACCATTGTGTGCTTCAGGTGTGCTGAAGCTCAGACAGCTGTGGAACTTCAAGAAGATGCGATGGTGAGTTCTCTTCAGTACCTCACCAGGCTGCAACTGATGGAGACTCACTGGTGATTCTAAATAGTGAGAATACAGGAGTACACTTTTAAAANAAAAAAAGAAAACGATTAATCGATTATTAAATTAGTCATCGATTATTTTAATAATCGATTAGTCGTCGATTAATCGATTAATCGTGGCAGCCCTACAGCTGACCTGCCAAACTGGTAGACTGAGTCTTTATTAGTTTTTATTTTGATTAAAAACTGCATATCTTATCTTAAAAAAGGGTCTGTTCAACACTTGCAAAGAATGTTGATGTTAAGATGATGATGATAGTTTATTGATCCCTACAGTTCAGAACACCCATTCACAAGACAGAACATAAACAAACATAGGGGAACAGGTGCCCTGGGTCATGCAGCCACAGACCCTGCACAGAGCAAGGATCAACATCATGAAAGATCATGAGGAGCACGGCCCTTAAAAGAAACACTAAATACCACACAAGGATAGATGAGGGGGAAAAAACAATAACATCATATTATCTCACTAAATGTGACACACTATGGTGTTTATATTAAAAAAAAACCTCTGCATAGAGCACATTTGTTAGCCAGAGGAGTAAGTGAGTTTAGGGGTGTGTGTTTCTGAAGCCATGAATGTTGTAGGCACTTGTGTGAATATCTGAAAAATGAGTCTGAAGAATCCAGTCCCCAAAAGATAAACCCCATAGTTCAGAGTACTGATGATGATTGTTCATTCTGTGCAGCTTCAGCTTGTCCTCCAGGAACCAGATCACAGGGAGTGAGAGGGGGAGAGGTGGGGGGAGCGAGCCTCAGTCAACTTAAACACCAGGAGGAATTTAGTTCCACAGCCCTTCAAGGCCACGTAGGGGAGAGCCGACTCTGTAATCAGTTGTTTGGGAACAGAAGAAACTGTTTTCGGTCAGGTAGACGATAATAGTTTTCCAGCTGCCTTAATGTCTGCTGGTACATCTCAATTTGACAAATCCAATCAGACAAATAGTGTGGACAATACTGCCGAGCTTTCAGCTTCTCCAGGATCAATGTCCGACTTTAGCTAATACTCAAAAAGTCAAACACTTGGGGGTTTCGGGTTTGGGGTTCCCTGTACCTCTGAAATTACACGGAAACAGCCAGAAGGTATCCAAGCTCTGATTTGGGAGTATTGTAAAAAGAACTATTGAAACGTACGTGAGCCAGTCCCCCCCACCCTCCAGTAGGGCGGCTGTGGCAGAGTGGTTGGGGGAGTCGTCCTGGAACCGGAATGTCGCCGGTTTAATCCCCCGTCCAGCTTTTTCAGTCGTTGTGTCCTTGGGCAAGACACTTCACCCACCTTACCTACTGATGGTGGTCAGATGGTGGCACCGGTGCATGGCAGCCCCGCCTCTGTCAGTGTGTACCCCAGGGTAGCTGTGGCTACAATGTAGCTTACCATCATCAGTGTGTGAATGGGTGAATGTCTGTGAGTGTAAAGAGCTTTGGGGTCCGGAGGGACTTGATAAAGCTTTTGTTTTTCAGAAAAGAGCTGTAAGAGTTATCACTCAAAAACATTATTATAATCCATCTAATCC